ACGTCTCCAGGTCATCCTAACGGTGCCTGAGGACAGCACGTCTCCAGCGTCATCCGTAACGGTGCCTGAGGACAGCACGTCTCCAGGTCATCCTAACGGTGCCTGAGGACAGCACGTCTCCAGCGTCATCCTAACGGTGCCTGAGGACAGCACGTCTCCAGCGTCATCCTACGGTGCCTGAGGACAGCACGTCTCCAGGTCATCCTAACGGTGCCTGAGGACAGCACATCTCCAGCGTCATCCTAACGGTGCCTGAGGACAGCACGTCTCCAGCGTCATCCTAACGGTGCCTGAGGACAGCACGTCTCCAGCGTCATCCTAACGGTGCCTGAGGACAGCAAGTCTCCAGCGTCATCCTAACGGTGCCTGAGGACAGCACGTCTCCAGCGTCATCCTAACGGTGCCTGAGGACAGCACGTCTCCAGTGTCATCCTAACGGTGCCTGAGGACAGCACGTCTCCAGCATCATCCTAACGGTGCCTGAGGACAGCATGTCTCCAGGACAGCACGTCTCCAGGACAGCACGTCTCCAGCGTCATCCTAACGGTGCCTGAGGACAGCACGTCTCCAGGGGGACAGCGTCAGTCATCCTAACGGTGCCTGAGGACAGCACGTCTCCAGCGTCATCCTAACGGTGCCTGAGGACAGCACGTCTCCAGCGTCATCCTAACGGTGCCTGAGGACAGCACGTCTCCAGCGTCATCCTAACGGTGCCTGAGGACAGCACGTCTCCAGCGTCATCCTAACGGTGCCTGAGGACAGCACGTCTCCAGCGTCATCCTAACAGTGCCTGAGGACAGCACGTCTCCAGCGTCATCCTAACGGTGCCTGAGGACAGCACGTCTCCAGAGTCATCCTAACGGTGCCTGAGGACAGCACGTCTCCAGCGTCAGCCTAACAGCCTAACGGTGCCTGAGGACAGCACGTCTCCAGAGTCATCCTAACGGTGCCTGAGGACAGCACGTCTCCAGAGTCAGCGTAACGGTGCCTGAGGACAGCACGTCTCCAGCATCATCCTAACAGTGCCTGAGGACAGTATCCATGGTTGTCTGAACATGCGGAGGGTCATCCAGAGTTCAACTTCCATTTAGCTGTTTTGTGAGTCAGTCAGTGTGCTGCCTCCGAGGCCTTCAAATACGTTTTAGTTGTTACCAATTGCTTCATTGCATGTAACTTATTAGATGCAGCAATTGTATTTAAATTGCAAGGTCTTAGTTCAGTTTGTTGTTGGACAATTAGCCCTTTTTGAGCACCTGTCCCCCCCCCCCCCCCGACCTGCACAGTTTACCAGAGACCCCACACAATGCTAACAGTTTACCCCCCCGCACCTGTGACCAGGGCCACACTACATCAACACTAGGCTAACACTTCCCTAATGTACTCTCCATTCATTACTGGAAGCCCGGCCCAGGCCAAATACATGCATTACATTTTAAATGAATGAGCTACTCCTTTAAAATGTTTTAATAACCCCTCAGATAAGATAAATGGTGTCCAGGGATGGCTATTAAAGGATGTGTGTGTGTGTGTGTGTGTGTGTGTGTGTGTGTGTGTGTGTGTGTGTGTGTGTGTGTGTGTGTGTGTGTGTGTGTGTGTGTGTGTGTCGGTCGGGATGTGGACACCCCTTCAAATTAGTGGATTCGGCTATTTCAGCCACACTGCTGACAGGTGTATAACATCGACCACACAGCCATGCAATCTCCATAGACAAACATTGGCAGTAGAATGGCCTTACTGAAGAGCTCAGTGACTTTCAACATGGCACCGTCATAGGATGCCACCTTTCCAACAAGTCAGTTCATTAAATGTCTGCCATGCTAGAGCTGCCCAGGTCAACTGTAAGTGCTGTTATTGTGAAGTGGAAACGTCTAGGAGCAACAACGACTCAGCCGCGAAGTGGTAGGCCACACAAGCTCACAGAACGGGAATGCCGAGTGCTGTAGCGTGTAAAAATAGTCTGTCCTCGGTTGCAACACTCACTACCGAGTTCCAAACTGCCTCTGGACGCAACTTCAGCAGAACTGTTCGTCAGGAGCTTCATGAAATGGGTTTCCATGGCCGAGCAGCCGCACACAAGCCTCAGATCACCATGCGCAATGCCAAGCGTCGGCTGGAGTGGTGTAAAGCTCGCCGCCATTGGACTCTGGAGCAGTGGAAACGCGTTTTCTGGAGTGATGAATCACCCTTCACCATCTGGCAGTCCGACGGACGAATCTGGGTTTGGCGGATGCCAGGAGAACGCTACCTGCCCCAATGCATAGTGCCAACTGTAAAGTTTGGTGGATGAGGAATAATTGTCTGGGGCTCTTTTTCATGGTTCGGGCTAGGCCCCTTAGTTCCAGTGAAGGGAAATCTTAACGTTACTAGACGATTCTGTGCTTCCAACTTTGTGGCAACAGTTTGGGGAAGGCCCTTTCCAGTTTCAGCATGACAATGCCCCCGTGCACAAAACGAGGTCCATACAGAAAATGTTTGTCGAGATCGAACACCTTCTGGATGAATTGGAACGCCGACTGCGAGCCAGGCCTAATCGCCCAACATCAGTGCCCGACTTCACCAATGCTCTTGTGGCTGAATGGAAGCAAGTCCCCGCAGCAATGTTCCAACATCTAGTGGAAAGCCTTCCCAGAAGAGTGGAGGCTGTTATAGCAGCAAAGGGGGGAACCAACTCCATATTAATGCCCATGATTTTGGAATGAGATGTTGGACGAGCAGGTGTCCACATACTTTTGGGCATGTGGTGTATTTCTAGACCAGTTATGGGAAACTTTGACAGGATGGGGGCCACAAAAAAATCTGAACGGCCGCAGTTGCACCCACGTTGTGTAAAACAGAAGAAACAACACTGATCCTCCTCCTCCATCTCACTCAGTCGTTTTTTATTTATTCAGGAAGCAGCGTCATGTCTATCTGGCAGTCTGTCTGGCAGTCTATCTGACAGCTCTAACCTAGTTACACATCTCTAGTTCTGCTCCCCGAGGGGATGGAGTGCCGTCTGCCAAGCCACACACACACACACACACACACACCTCCTAAACACACAGTCACACCTCATACACACCTCAGCTGCTTCAAACAACTTCACACACAGTCACAAATGATACATAGCTTCCAACAAACAGCCACAGAACACCCACTGCTCCTGTTTCACACACACTGGTGAGCCCTTGTCAGCGAAGTGGGGGGGACCATCAAGGTTGTGGTTGGCACTAGTTACCACAGCCACAAAGTCTAAATTGTAACAGAAATTTTCATTTTGGTCTTAATTTAAGGTTAGGCATAAGGTCAGAAGTGTGGTTAAGGTTAGGATTAGGTTTAAATGAGATTTTAAGATTGTATTATAAATTATTATTCTTTTAAATAGGCAGAGTTTAGCCATAATGACTTTGTGGCTGTGGTAACTAGTGACGACCATCCAGGCTTTTAGCCTGACTTCCTGGACGGTCTGAGTGATGTCATCACTACCACCTCCCTTCTGTTCATCTCTTATCATCACTACTAGTGGTTGTTTTACATTAGAAATGCTGTCCTGGAGTCTGAATCCTCCATTTTGAGTGTCCATCCGTCCTCCCCCAGTTCCCTCTTCAACAGGGCATAGTGCCGTCTCAGTTCCACTTGTTCTTGTGTCACACCTTGTGACTGTAAACACACACTCACTGATACGTAACAATGGAATACTGACAACAGAAAAAGGTCAACCCTTGAGCTGATTGGTTTATGCTCCACTTCCTGCTTGGTGAGAGGGGTGGAGTCAGAATCAAAGATACTAACAGAGTGGTATCATGAAGACAAGATGTTTGGAGTGGGTGTTAGGTGTGTGTGTGTGTGTGTTTATAACCAAGTATATCCGAGCACATTCAACCAACTGCCACGCAGATTGTCCAGTCGTAGTGAATAAAACAGGCTTTCTGAATCCATCAGAAACACGCTTCCTTGTTGTATAGCAGATGTGTAGATATATCCTGAATACAGATGGGCTGGATGACCTCCATCAGTCCTTGTACGGTTCCTTGTACTGTCATGTGATCCGGGAGATTCCTTTTGATCAATATCAGACGTGAACTAAATGTAGCACCAGTAGAAGACGCACACGGAATATCTCACTACGTGTGTCGCAAATGGCACCCTATTTCCATATAGTGCACTACCTTTGACCATAGGGCTCTGGTCTAAAGTAGTGCACTATATAGGGAATAGGGTGCCATTCTCTGGTCTAAAGTAGTGCACTATATAGGGAATAGGGTGCCATTCTCTGGTCTAAAGTAGTGCACTATATAGGGAATAGGGGTGCCATTCTCTGGTCTAAAGTAGTGCACTATATAGGGAATAGGGTGCCATTCTCTGGTCTAAAGTAGTGCACTACATAGGGAATAGGGTGCCATTCTCTGGTCTAAAGTAGTGCACTACATAGGGAATAGGGTGCCATTCTCTGGTCTAAAGTAGTGCACTACATAGGGAATAGGGTGCCATTCTCTGGTCTAAATGAGATTTCCAGACTGTTCTCCGACGTTTCTGATGTGGCTCTGATGTTTTGTCACTTATCGCTGAGCAACATAATTTGCATTTTATGAGAGTGAAACTGGATGTGCTGTTTGTCAGTTAAATCATTGCTTTTTTTTATTTTTACAGGACATTGATAATAATTGTTTTCTATTTTGCAGTGTACGGACATAATGTAAGCACACAATGCGTCAAAGCTTTCTCTCCTTCTCCTTAGCTCTCCTCAGCATTTGACCTGGAGGCAGGCACAACCCACATTACATTACCCAACAAGTAGCTGCTGGTCTTCCAGATATGGCACAGAGAAAGAACAAATCTCTATCTGCTTTCCAAGGCTATAGTCAGTCAGTCTCTCTCTCCCTCTCTCCCTCCCTCCCTCCCACTCTCCCTCCCTCTCTCACTCTCCCTCTATCCCTCCCTCCCTCCCACTCTCCCTCCCACCCTCCCTCCCTCCCACTCTCCCTCCCTCCCTCCCACCCTCCCTCCCTCTCTCCCTCCCTCCCACCCACAGTGATGTCCAGTTCTGTTGTTCGAGAAGAGCAGGGAGCTGTAGAAGGCCAAACCAGCCTGTACTGACGCAGCCTTCACAGAAACAGCTTCCTCACCCAGCCGGAAACCAGGCAGCGACTCCTGGACAGGCTGCTCCATCCATCCTCAGAGGGTTAAACAATGTTTGGGACACAACGACCTTACGGTTACCCCCTGGTTACCCTTCAGTTGGTTAACACTGGTTTGGTCAAAGGTCATAAGCCCAAACTAAAGGTGAGAGTTCACAAGAATCAGACCACACATTTAAACCCTATGATTGGTTGGCACAAAGGTCAGAGTTCGTGGTAGAGTCTTTAGTAACTCCATTCTGTTTCTGAACTGACAGTATCTGTCCACTCCTGACTCCCTATATCGACTGTCCTTTAGAATCCATCGCCCTTTCCCCCCTCCTCTGCCCAGCCCAGAGGGGTCCTGGGTAGTAGTGTAGTCCTAGACAGCCTTAGAGGAGGGGGGGGTTATGGGTAGTGTAGTCAATAACGGGTCAGAGTGTCTGGTTCATCAGTGTTGGCTAGCTGTTGTTCTCTGCAGTCATGTATTTGAGGGCAGCGAAGCCATATCGTCGAGACATGTTCTGCTGGAACTCCTCCTTCAGGGTCTTCAAGCAGACCCGGTACTGCTTGTTGGAGCGGAACTTGGTGATGTCGAAGCTGGGAGCGTGAGGCATGTGGATCATGAAGGCGTTGGGCAGAACCACAAACTCATACTCCTGGAACAGAGGAGAGAGGCCAGAGTCAGAAACACTAACTAAACACTAAGGCAGCACCACAAACTCATACTCCTTGAACAGAGGAGAGAGGCCAGAGTCAGAAACACTAACTAAACCCTAAGGCAGAACCACAAACTCAACATCCTGGAGGAAGGACTGAGAACAGAGGAGAAAGGCCAGAGTCAGAAACAGTTAGTTATTGATTATCTACAACATCAAATGAAATGTTATTTGATCGCTTGACACGTTTAGATCATCCCTACGGAGATACCTGGAGTCAGGGGAAGTCAAGTTGAAATAATGATGGAGAGATAGAGAGAGATTGCAAGAGAGGGGGAGAGTGGGTGAATAAATGGAGAGAGTGGAGCTGGAGAGAGAGTGGAGCTGGAGAGAGAGTGGAGCTGGAGAGAGAGTGGAGGTGGAGAGAGAGTGGAGGTGGAGAGAAAAATGGATGGATGGAGAGGAGGTGGAGGTGTGGACAGAAGGACAGAGGGTGGAGGTGTGGACAGAAGGACAGAGGGTGGAGGTGTGGACAGAAGGACAGGGGGTGGAGGTGTGGACAGAAGGACAGGGTGGAGGTGTGGACAGAAGGACAGAGGGTGGAGGTGTGGACAGAAGGACAGGGGGTGGAGGTGTGGACAGAAGGACAGGGTGGAGGTGTGGACAGAAGGACAGAGGGTGGAGGTGTGGACAGAAAGACAGGGTGGAGGTGTGGACAGAAGGACAGAGGGTGGAGGTGTGGACAGAAGGACAGAGGGTGGAGGTGTGGACTGAAGGACAGGGTGGAGGTGTGGACAGAAGGACAGAGGGTGGAGGTGTGGACAGAAGGACAGAGGGTGGAGGTGTGGACTGAAGGACAGAGGGTGGAGGTGTGGACAGAAGGACAGAGGGTGGAGGTGTGGACAGAAGGATAGAGGGTGGAGGTGTGGACAGAAGGACAGGGTGGAGGTGTGGACAGAAGGATAGAGGGTGGAGGTGTGGACAGAAGGACAGAAGGACAGGGTGGAGGTGTGGACAGAAGGACAGAGGGTGGAGGTGAAGTGATGGAGGGATGAAAAGTGTGGAGGTAGAGCAAGAGAGTGATGGTGTGGAGTGAAAGATGGAGAGAATGCGGGGGAATGTGGAGGTGTAGTGATGGAGTGACTGGATAGAACTATGTACAGATAGAGAGAGTGACTGGGTAGAACTATGTACAGATAGAGAGAGTGACTGGGTAGAACTATGTACAGATAGAGAGAGTGACTGGGTAGAACTATGTACAGATAGAGAGAGTGACTGGGTAGAACTATGTACAGATAGAGAGAGTGACTGGGTAGAACTATGTACAGATAGAGAGAGTGACTGGGTAGAACTATGTACAGATAGAGAGAGTGACTGGGTAGAACTATGTACAGATAGAGAGAGTGACTGGGTAGAACTATGTACAGATAGAGAGAGTGACTGGGTAGAACTATGTACAGATAGAGAGAGTGACTGGGTAGAACTATGTACAGATAGAGAGAGTGACTGGGTAGAACTATGTACAGATAGAGAGAGTGACTGGGTAGAACTATGTACAGATAGATCTGTGTGGGTGGAGGTGTAAACAGATTGAGAGTGATGGTGTAAAGGTGTGTTCAGATTGAGAGTGATGGGGTAAAGGTGTGTTCAGATTGAGAGTGATGGGGTAAA